TTGGACTTTCTAGCTTCTAGAACTGTGAGAAATGAATTTCTGTTGTTTATTATCCCCCTAGTTTATGGTATTTTGTTATAGCAGCCTGAATAGACTAAGATAACCTCTAACTTTAAAAACTCCAATACTGTGTTTATTAATCTCTGTTTGTCAAAACTTCCTTATTTGCCATAAAAAACTCTTCTTAGATTTTGAAAGTAACTTGGCACAATTAAAAATTAATTATCATGTATACGCATCTTTCATGTTCATGGTGTTTCTTTTGTATTGTATAATTTTCAGAAACATTGATTTATTAATCTGTTGAATTCAAAGTAGAAAATGATTTTGTTACAATGACAGTATGAGTTATGATATTTTTTAACCAAATTATGTATTATTTTCCCATAGCTGTTGTAATAAATTACCACAAACTCATTGGCTTAAAGTGACACAAATTTATTCTGGAGGACAGAGGTCTAAAATGGTGTCACTGAGCTGATAACTAAGATGTAGACAGGGTGTATTCCTAACAGAGAATACAGGAGGGAACCAGCTTCCTTGTGTATTCCAATTTCTAGAGCTATATTCCTTGCATTCTTTGGTTGGTTCATAGCCCCTTCCTTTATCTTCAAAGCGAGCAGCACGGCATCTTCGTATCTTTTACTGCTTCCATCCTTACCTAGCCTTCTTCATCTTCTGTCTGTGTGCCAATCTCCCTCTGCTTCTCCATTATACTGACCCCTATGATTCCATTTAGGGCCCACCCAGATTATTCAGGAAAATCTCTCTGTCTAAAGATCTTTAATGGTATCGACAATGATTGTTTTTATTTATAAGGTAACATTCATTGGTCCACACTTACAGAATGAGCTTCAGATACACTAGCAGCAATGGTCAATACTCCTTCCTCAGAGTTCTAAGATCTAGTTCTACAGGGCCCCATGTCTGACTTCCTTGAGTATTAACACCAATTTAGCCATGTGCTCTCTGGGGCTCAGATCTGCAGGATCTTGTTATCGAGCTTCTAAGTTCTGAAAATCCTATCTTCTTCCCTCTGCACCCCCCTCCCCAATCCTATGGTAGTAGCTGCTTGTTGTGATGATTACCTCTGTTACCTCAAAGTTCTATTTTTGTGTTTTTAGTACTCTGGTGCCTGTTTTAGTATTTCCCTATAGTATATTCTCTAAGATAAAAAGGAAAATATGATATATGTTGAGATAGGAGTGGCTTTTATTTTTTTTTTTTACAGAAGCCATAACATTAATAT